TTTCATGTGTGAATGCACGTGTATGGATGTTGATTACTAAGTAAGCTGTTGTTTGTATCCTTGTAGGCCAATATGACTGCCTTGAGCAGTCAGTCAGGTAATAATGTTCCGGGTTCTGAGATTGTTGACAAGGTGCTGAAGAAAAAGCCAATGGTATCTAGAAAGGAAGCACGACGATTGGCTAAAGAGATTCAGCTGGAGAGAGAATTGCAAGCATAAAGGCTAGAAAGGCAGGCAGAAAGGGAGACTTTTGAAAGGCGGAGCAAGAAATTTGAGGAGCAAATTGAAATTCAGCAGTCGAAACTACAAACTCAAGACACAAAGTTTGAGGAGATGGAAGCATCGCAGCACCGTCTTGAAGCTACTGTTCGTGACTTGGTTGCTAGAATGGCTGGAAATGACAACTGAAGGAGGTAATCTACTATCTCCTTTGAGAGATAAGAACAGAACTAATGCAACAGTCTGAATGTGGGGGTGATGAACTAATGCATGTTATCTACAAGTGAGATGATGCATGTGAGGAGGGCTGGACAGAGGTTGCTGATTTTGGGATTCAAGCAGTTGGCTTGAGTTGGTCCATGATTTTGGGGTACTAAACTATTAGGAACATTAATATTTACCAGGTGTAAGTGTCGGATAATGTTTATTAAGTGTAAGTGTCGGATAATGGTCTTTAGTAATGCTTGTTATGTAGCAGCAGATTTTTGGCAAACAACAGATATTAGCCATTTTGTGGTTTGAATGAAGAAGCTTGTTTTTATGTCCAACAGCTCCTTGGGTACCTCTAAAGTGATGAATCTATTTTTGTCACTATTTGTTCTGTCAATCCTAATTTAGACTAACAAAATATGAAAAACCATTTGTCACATCAAACCTTCACAAATTGTGACAGATGTGATTTGTCATAATAAATTAACAAAATATCAAATACGACAAACATTGCGACAAAAAATATCGTCATAACAAACATTTTCGTCACAATAAGTACCAACGAATAATGTTTTACGTGAAAAAGTCGTGATTTGTTGTGACAAAATATCAAGTTATTGCTACAAGATAATTCGTCACATTAAATACTTATTATGACGCCTTATGTTTGTCACAATACGGTATAAGTTGTTGTGACAAGATGAAAAATATTTTGTCACAATATACTATTACGACGGGGTTCTTGCAACGAAACATTGTGACAAATATATTTGTCACAATAGACCTAATGTGACGAAGAAGGTACTTAATGTGACGAAATCCTTCCGTCATAATATACCAAAAATGTTGTAGTGTCCCTTCCAAAATTATTTATGTGGTGGTGGGTGGCTCTATCACTAGAAGTGGAGGTTTGGTTTGTGGTGCATCAATGACATATATTGTGGTAAACTACGTTCATAATTTGTGAGTACTGAGTTGGACGTGGTTAGCAAATTCATTATAATCATAATAGACTAATAAAATCTATTTTTTTTCTTTATCTTCACCATACTCATTAATTATTTCAAAATATAAGAAGTAAGGATCAATTACATAAAAAACCAAAATAATCCATTGTTCAAATAAAAACTTATAGTGTGATAAATATGTAATTAATTGATAGCGTGTGTGCTGTGTGAATTGATGTGTAATTTGCAAAGCAAAAGCTTTCCCTCACCAAAATCAAATACAAAATTTGAAAATGACAAAAGCCCTATACCGAGTGACATACTTAACATTTCATCGCCATGAACAACACAAAAGTATATCACTATACTCTAGTGAAGAATAATAATATTCGTTGATGTTTGTCGCGGGCCGCAACTGTTCTATGTTTTGAAAGATGAACTTTCGCGAATAAGCACAACCAAAGTGCAGTAGTGGACTATGATTAACTGCTAACTATTTTGGTGCCATTTGTGAGTAATAAAATAATAATTTTGTGATCATGATACATTATCAAAACAAAACAAAAAACCTTTGTGATCATGGTTAATTGCAAAATATAAGACGGGTAACTATACCAGCACTAATTTCCACCCCCTAGCTAGCCATCACATTACATGAGGTAGGTACGTGGTTAACTTTTCTTCTTTTCCCCAGTCCCGTGTTGCCACAGATGCAAGGCCTAGATTAATGGGTCTCAGAACAGCCGGTTAGTTGGGCTCATTGTTCCACCCAGCGGAGCCCATATTGCATTACAAGCCCAGCCTCCAGAGTTCCATCATGGCATCATATATGATCACCAGAACTTGATAGTGTAGTTGATAGTGGTGATGATAGGTTCTTTATATCTTGGGATCTTTGATTTTCTCTTTTGAAGAGTGATATATCGGCAAAAGAGAAAAATTTGATATATGTAACCAATCCATTTTTCTCTTTTTTTTCGATAATAGAAATATTCTCCAAAGTCAGAAAGAAAAACTTTGATCCTTGTAAGTATCTAAACAACTCATAATAACAGTTAAGATGAGCACAGTTTGAAATGAATAGTATAACATTTTTATGGCTACTTATTGAGGGGTGGGAGAATGACTTGTTGAATGTCAATATCAAGTCCATCTTTAGAGGTCGAACAACTGTACTCTCCAACATCTACTGAACTTATCATATATCACAATTTGTAACGAGACATTTTACTTGAGAACTAAGTATGAGGCTCATTTCACCTCGATCGGTTCATATCCCTTCCTGCCCACGAAACACAATTCATACTTACTCCAAGCCCACCATTAAATAGAGTTGAAACCATTTTAGTGTACAAGATTCTAGTAGGAGGTGACCTTGAATGTTCACCTAAATGCTATTAGTGTAACAGATAGGGAAACTCCACCACCTTGGCATGCCATTATGGTAATGTGCAAATCATATTGTATATATATTCCCTTTTTAATTTGTTGATTAGGTTTTTTATTTGTTGATTAGGTGACATGACTTACATATGTCGATTTATCAATTTGAGTATACTCCCTTTGGGCAAGTCTTACTGTAAATGAGACCGTTACATTTTTCTTTCTCCGCTTTGCCATTTTCGGGTGAATGATGACTCCGCATGCTATCATCTTTTTTTAATTTAAATATAATCGACCATATAATGTGCAAAGTAACTAACATATAGATTTACATTATTTATTAATATGATGTGTGTTAGCCATATGCACTGGCACGATAAATCAGTTTCACCTTATTTGAGAATATACAAATTACATAGATGAATATACATATAGCATCTTCTCTAGATGGCCTAACGCCGATCCAAGCAGAAGATCTATTCACGAAAGGGGAGGGGAAGGAAAATTTAGAGGAGGTGAAAATTTGAAAGAAGTGAAATAATAAGGTGAAAGTGGTGTTCAATTATGAAGGAAATAAAAAATGAGGGGGAAAAGAAATTCAATAAGAGGCAAAAAGTTGTTTTCATCCCAAATTGGCAAGGCAACTGCTAGAGTAACTTTCCCTTCAAATAATCAATCCTATATACTATAGCAAAACTTATGAACAAAAAAAATTTCTAAATCCCTCCACTTTTTCCACCCTCTTTTTCCTCTCCTTCGTGGACTGAGGGGAAAAGAAAATTTTAACAAACCATATCCAAAATACTAAAATAGCAACAAAAATAATATATATATATATATATACTATAAGGTCATATATTATGAACTTGTCGTCGACGACAAATAAGTTATTTTCAAATCATAGTACTAAAGGGGAAAAGCAATACCATAAATTTTTATAGCTGTATTTGCAAGCAAAAACACTAAATAATTCATGAAAACATTTGTTAGTCATTATTCTTTTTATAATTAAATCGTTGTATGGATGGATATCAACCAAGAAATAAAGCAAATCCAGTCAGCCCGTGATTCCCGGGGGGCTTCTTAATATTAAACTATTCATTACTCAACAATTTGACGGTGGATGGAATGTTGACTTGTTTGTTTGGATGAATGAACCGAATATTGGTAGGTGAACTATATAGTACTATACCAAGGTAAGCAATAACAATGAAGGTAGGGAGGAAAGCTCATTTGGTTTATACCGGAGCGTTGCACACTATTAGATGTGATCAAGTTGATTGGCGATCGATCACATTGGAATTAGTTATATAATGAAGCGTTAAGGATAATATCAGTCTTCTTTATCACGATATATCGTACTCAATCCATAAGTAAATATAAAAAGGTGCAATCAAGAAATACGATCAACATTATCTTGCAAAGAAAAATATCAATGATATCTTGTTTCCAAATGCAAATTATTCGAAGACTCGTAAGTAACGTTTAATGATAATTAAGGGGAAGTAGCAAAATGGTATTTGTCACTCTTAGTACATTCAAAGCTTACTGCTACAAATAAATGGAAAAATTTCTCTGACAAATCAAGAGTTATTAGGTCTTCATCAAGAAAAAAAGACATGCATTATTAGTCTTTGTAACACTTAAAACTTGTAAGGGTTCGACTACAAACTACCAGTCGTTTGTATGGTGGATTTTTTTAAAATGAGACCATTCGACTAAGTTATCTGGCAAGTGTCTTATTACACAATTTCTCACAAAACATATAATTTTTATGTGCTTGTCCCTCCTCCTATCCATTCAAATTGATACAAAAAAAAAAAAGATAATTCAAACTATCTCGATCCAATTAATGTATTTTTATTTTGTGTTGCATCCAAACTAGCCCATTTGACTCAATGTTGCATCCAAACCAGCCCTACAACTAGATGTTGATGCAAGTGAAATGTACACAAAAATCAAAACTTTAGGTTTGAAACTTTGATTCTTTGAGCGTACATCACTATCTTGCCATTTCAGTTTCTCTCCAATCATATGAGTGGATGATTTGTCTTTCACTAGTCGAGTCTAACCATGACAAGTCCATAGCTCTACATTCCACTGCGAGAGACACAAGAGTAGTTGACAAATCTACATACAAAGCCAAAGCCAAAGCCAACTAAGGGTATCTTGTCACAGCCCACAGCCCACTAAACCCTAGATAGAATGGCATATACAACACTCAATCGCCACTCACTAACAAACCCACCAACAAAAAATTGCTGAAACTGAAGCCGCGTTGGACAAAGGAGAGAAAGACCCATGCCAACCGCCATTAACACACCTCCGCCCAGAAGAGGGCTGCGCGTCACCTACTCCCACCTCTACCAATCATTAAAAGTAAAAGCAACGTAAACCCCTCCATTATTCCTCCTTTCCCCCTCTTGATTATAAGGAGGGGGAAAAAAATACCCTCTAAAACAGGGGAGCTATCCTCCTTTTTCCTCCTTTTCGTGAAAAGCCCCGTTTATGGCGAGGGATTAGGAAGAAAGAGTGTGCTGTTGCGATGTGGGGACTGTTTGGTTAGCTCCAAGAGGAACACGAAAGCAAAGAATGGAGCGTGTGACGACAAAAGATGATCGCATTTCTCATATCTGGGTAACGTAAACCAGAGGAAGAGGAAAACACAGTGCTCTTATATAGTTTTTCCCCCCTTCTCTTCTCTTCTCTTCTCTTCTCTTATGGTAACTCGAAACCAACTCTCCGCGGCTCCATTCCCTTCTCTCTTTCTGTATTGAGTAATTCCTACCTCCTTCGTGAAACCCAACTGAAAAAGAACCCAACTTTTGAAAAACCCACCTGGTGAGTTCTTCCGTATTTCTTCCTCTGTTTTTTTCTTCCTCCTTTCGTCTTTTCCGTTTCTGAGTTTCTTCTGATTGTAACTTGTAACTTCCCACCAACAACAAAAGCTATGTTGCTTAGAAACCCAATTTCCAACACGAAACGCTTCTTACAGCGAACCCTACAAAGCGTCAAGTCTCTCTTCTCCACCGGCAGCTCCAATGCTGACTACCACAAGATCCCCAAGACCCCGCCTTTCGCCGCCATGGACAAGACATCCGGCGTCGGAGGAAGCTTCGGCAGACGAAGAAGCAAGGACGGGTTCGACAGGCTGTACGTGGACTACAGCGACCGGTGGGAGAAGAAGAAACCAGCCGAAACGAGGACCGTTAAGGACAGAGAAGGAAACTGTTCGACGAAATGCCCCAGAGAGGTTCAGGCGAGGGTTAAGAGCAAGAGGTATCAAGCAAGATCAACATCGCTGCCCAAGATGGGACATGGTGGCGGCGGTGATGATAATGGAAAGGAGAAGCTCTCGTCGAGGGAGGAAAGGAGCTGGCTTGTGGCGCGGAAGCTGAAAGAGCTCCAGATGATGGATATGGGCGATGTGGATCATGTTCTCGACATCGAGGAAGTGATTCACTACTACTCTCGACTCAGCTGCCCTGAATATGTCGAGATCGTCGACAAGTTTTTCATGGATGTTTATGCCGAGTTCTTCTCTCCGGCGGCCGCCACTCCGGTGAGTGTCAATTCGAGATCGAGGTCCAGCCGGCTGCTGCGGTCGTAATGAGAAGTCGTGGGAGAGCTTTCCTGTCATGTTCTTGTATCATCGTTGAAGGATTGATGACTTGATTGTAGTTTGCTTTTCTCTGTTCTTAATTTCATTTTTTCTCCTAGTGTGTCATTGTATTCTTCTGATCTAATTGTCATTTCCCTTTGTTCATAAATAATTGAGCTACTGACCATGATTGTTTCTCGAACTTCATTTTTTTTTTCTCTCCATGGGTTTATATATAATACATTGAGCTTTGCATAGTGTTGTTAGTGACGAGTAGTCTTGATTCTCGTTGCAATTCGTGATCATTTTTTGACTTGCGATCTCTAGGTTGAATGTTAGTGGTGAACGAGAAGAAATTTGCTATCAATTTTGCGGTTGAGCTCATCACACTATATACTCATGAAGCACTCTTAGAGTAAGTTAGTCGAATTGTTGGATCTCATATGTATAATGGTTTGTCGTTTGTCATTATGGGAAAGTGCCTAACACAGAAACATTGCACAGAAACATTGCGATAGTGAAAGTAAAGGGCCCAAATTAACAATGATTTCATTTTAACAACCCATCACCGAGGAAAGCAAGGCAGAGCGAAAGATTGTCTACTGTTGGTATAAAGCACCTTGTTAGGTCACTCAATGCAGATACTGATAGACCCCGAAATCTAGAGTGCGGAGTAATGCAGTGAGATTAGGAATTAGGTTAGATCAATGAGGGAGATTAGGGATTACACTAGGTCAATCAGAGATTGATCCAAGAATTGGGGATTGAACGAAGAGGGGAAAGAGGGTTCCGCCGAAGCCTAGGGAAGAAAAGGGAGGTTTCAGCTAGAGAGAAGAAGAATGTAGAGAGGATTAGGGTTTCAATATTCTTAATTCTTATTAAGCTTAACTACAATCTTGTCTTACACCGATACTTAATATTAATCGACAATTATCCCCTTTACTCCCCAAAATAATAACCTAATCGTAATACTCCCTCCCCAACAATTAAAACCAACATAATAATCCAATCAATAAACCGACAATTAATAATAATTCCTAATAACTATAAAATGTGTTCATCATATTCCTACCCTGTGCTTGTGCTGGGCGAGAGCTCCATGACGAGGTATCGCTCATGAAAGTGCAATGGAAAGTAATACAGCAGAGGATCAATAATAGATGAAGGTAATAGATTACTGGCGGGTGGCGGCAGCTGCAACAGTGTATATTCTCACGATGATAAGACATTGTACCGTTTGAATATCTCATGCCATGACACAAAACTAGACATTAAAACAAGGGCATTAAATCAGAACCAGAAGTATTGCCCCTTTGAAGATTTCTAATCCAACTAGCCGATGTCAAAACTCAAAACTTGAAACAGTTTCAAAGTGCAGATTCTAAGCCAAAAAACAAACATTGGATTACTACACCATCTCCAGAATCAGCATTGCTCTCTATGCCTCAGCTGCCCTGAACTCGAACACAACATCCTTGCCGGTAAGCTTCCTGTAAACGGAAGAAAAGGTATCCAACTTGTAGTCGGTTGTGGTCTGTTCCTTTGTGTCCAAGAACACCTGTAGTCATAACAAGTAAAGAGCTTTATATCATCCAAGCGACCTCAGAAAAAAGAACCGTGTTGTTTATATAAGTTAAAGGGAAGAGTAAACTATGTTACCTTCATTATCTTGGATCCATCAAGACGGTACCTAGTCCTCTTCCCAACAATCTCAGCAGGTGCCACGACATCTTCCAGCATTGCCTCGTGGACAGAGGTTAGTGTTCTGCTGCGTGGCCTATTTGCAGCTGAGCCCTTCTTTGGTGGCCTCACAATCCTTCGAGTAGCAATGACAACCACATCCTAGAGAGAGAAATTACAAAGGCAAACAAGTAAGGCCAATCGCACCGCACAAGGGTGTCTCATCAAACTACAAGATAAAAGACACAAACTGGAATAGCAATAACAAATATCATACCTTCCCACTGAGCTTCTTCTCAAGTTCTCTAACAAGCTTGACATGAATCTTTCTGAAACCTTTCCTCAGCCTGTAAGGGACATGGATAACAACGGCCTTGCGGTTGTTCGAGACATCCATCTGACTGCAAGACAGTGTTTATTTAATCAACTTGAGTATGCAGAAACATTAAAACTGCAATGCGAATTGAAGTACCCATCTGACAACCAAGGCACTTACACTGCAGAGTTAATGTAGAGATCCTTAAGTTCACTCTTCAGATCAGAGTTGGTGTTCTCCAGATCAAACAATGCCTAACAAGAGGTAAGACAGGCATTTTATATAATCAGTAGCCATTCTAATAGTCGACTTATGGCTCAATCCATGAAAATATCATCAGTAGAGCAACAAACCTGAGCAACAGTCTCCTCGAACTCAGTAGGTTCGACATCCTTATCCTTGTGAATCTTCTGCCTAGACGTATACATCTTGACGGATCTAACATATCCGCAAAAGGGTGAGTAACAGCAAATGGTGGGAAAATGAAACCAACCCCATTATCGAATCGCAAACAAAAAGCCAATCAATGACCACAGAAATGGAAGCTCAACGCACAAACATGAAATTTCCTAGTCGAACACTATGCAATAATCAGCTCCAATGGAACAATGAAGCCAAGACCTTGATTCAGATATCTCAACTAACAATCATCTTCCCAGTGAATACAGCTCGTTCGGGAGATAAGAACTAGATCCCAAAATATGAATGTCGGAAAAGAATTTGAAAGGAAAAACAGTGCGACTACTGCTTTCTGACGAAAACGATAGATACAATACCAAAGCAGAGGGATTCCTATAGATTCACAGGAACGAACAAACAGAAAGATTAAAGGATGAGACTGAATTACCAGAAGCAGAGAAGAGGGCCGAAGCAGCAGACAGCGCAAGCTCTGAACGCCGGAGACTCGAAAGAAGAAGACCTTCTAGGGTTTTGGCGTTAAAGTTAGCTTAAATATAATGAATCTAGGGCCAGGTTTAGTTCCGGCGTTACATTGGGCCTGCTAAATCAGTTATGATTGATCGCGAACTCCTGAATGGGCTACAGCCCAAATTCTATGCCCCATATTCAGACTTGGGGTAGCCCAAGCCTTTTGTTAATTGAATTTCTGGAACCAGCAATGGCCTAGTTGTGTAAAAGTTTTCAGGCTTTTGGTCTCTTCCGGGCAGTTTTTTTATTATCTTCCTTGCATATGTATAAGACCGAATTCATTCCATTTCTGAAAAACAATTACTAACTCTTAACTTTTTGAGGAAACCTTCGTCACTAGTTGTGAATGATCGATTTTTCTCAATTTTTTGACCTCTTGGTCCCGTTGGAACAAGTCACTTTCGTAATTCAAGTTAGACATTTAAGAATAACTTATGGGATTGTTTAGTTACTGTCACACACAGTTTTGACTGTCAAACGTGTTTCAGCAGCAGCCTGGAATCATTTATCATTCTTAAGCAAGATATCTTTTTTGTCAGTAGCTTTTGAAATATATATTTTTTTCCCGTTCATCTTACTCTATAGGTTTCTCTTATTTTTTAGATGAGAAAAAATCATGGTTGTACATCACATTGACAGTAGAAGCACTATCAACCATCCAACTTTTCGACGACTATTTTTCTTGCGATGATAACATATGACATCCGCAGACTGGTTGTACTTCTCTTGTCTCTTACGTTTGTGCTTGGTTACAACCCCTTAACCTACCTGAAGTTAGTACTTGTGAGTTTCATGTTACCGTGTCGCCTAAACGAGTAGTGTCTTCATGTTATTCTCTATTATTTTGTATTCTCATTCTTTTTTCATCATTGACTATTTGTTGTAGTTGTGTTGAGGTAGTTTGGCTTCACTACTCATGGAGCTGCTTGCCTCTTTTTTAATTTTATATGACCTCTTTCTCTTTTATTTACGCGTTGTTTCTCTCTCCATCATTCGCTTCTTGCCTATTTCTTTCAGTTTCTCTTTATGTTTTATTGATTGAATTTCGCATTGTTCTGCTCATAGGAAAAAGATCCAAAACCAAAAGAATTGCTTGAACTTCCTTTTCATGTGGTTGTTGACGCGAAGTTAGCTGAAAATTGTTTTCTTTGAAGTCCTGTCATGATCGCACACCCAACGACGGAGCTTCATTCGGGCAACTCAGTGGTGAGTGGAAACTCCATGCTCATAGAGCAGAAAAATGAGAAAGGAAAAGAAAAGAAGAAAGAGAGTAGAAAGAAAGCCCTTTCTTTTTCACCGAGGAAGAAAAGTTGCAAAAAGTATGGGAAATCAAAGATGACAAAAAAAATTGAAGTATGAAGCACCCTCCAAAAGAGAATCTCAAGTTCCCACCACCAAATTTGGTGGGGGATCCAATATTCCAAATCATGGTTGTTGGTTGCAGTAACGAAATGACCAAAGGGTAACTGGGATCCCTATAACATGGGCTTGAGATTGAGTAGAGTAGTTAGTGTGTTCTCTTTTCCAACTTGGAAGAGTACACTAACATGCTTCTTTTGTTAGCAAATGGAGGAAGATTCTTCAGGTATTCTGTTGAAGATTCCAACCAACTAGGTAAAAGAAGGTGGGTGGGGATATTTTGGTTGGAACAAGGGCAGCTAACTATATAGCTATAGGCAGCTAGACAAAGGCAAAGTTGCTGGTGAAACAACAATGGGGGAAATAAAGGGGTGGATGGGATGAGATAAGGAGCCATCTTTTCATTCATATGTCTTTGTCAATATGGTACCCTTTTCTTTTCTTTCTCTCCTTTGTGTGTTTGTGCCATTTGGGAGTTGCACCTTTCCCACACATGTCTCATCTTTTTGCTTACTTAGCTTACTTACTGCCTTGGGTATTTGGTAATCAAGGACTCATAATGATTGGAAAGATCCAATAACTAGTTCTACCATTGGGATTCTTGATAACGACTTGTGATAGTATTGCATACTTGTGCAACATGCAATTGAGATTTGCCATCATTTCGATTTGCCCTTTTTTGGGTTCTCCCCCTTTCTCTACCCGTGCTTTAGTGTAATGGGTGACAATGGATGTATTACATACTGTGATGTTTCTAGTATCGCAGCATCGTATCAATAAATTGTATAGGTTAAATGTTATTGTGATGGTAAGATGTTATGAATTTATTATGATGTAGGTGTCTCGTAGTTGTTTTTACGTACTTTTGTTATTACTCATTTATTGTACTTTGAAATAGTACATTGCTTTTGAAATCTAGAAAATGAGCATGTGGAGGGAGACGGATGGCCTAATGATTGAAGAAGGCAATGCAACAAGACAAGTTGCAAGGTAGGGGAGGTTATACGTGTTGTCCATTATATTCCCATGGAGCAAAGTTGAATTGCATTCACAACAAGAAATTTTCTTAAAGTCAAAGGCTTTACATATCATTTGCTGGCATCCGTGAACATTTTGATATATTTAGTTCAAGCTCAACTCTTCCTATTCCTTCTTTTTATCATAAGTGTAGTTTATTAATAGGATGTGTGTTAGCTAACCCACAGACATAACTCAGAAGAGACCATTTTCAAAGTACTTAAAGAGAAACAGATTAAAGAAATCGAGAAGAAATATACAACACATTCTCCAGACGATCTAACACTAATCCAACTTGAAAAGGAAAAGGATACATACCAATCCCACAACAAGAAAACAAATATGTATAAACAATAATGTACATATATCGAGATCTCGATAACTTTTAGTGGATGATAGAAAATACGTCTTCTTTTGAGTCATAACAACAATACACATATACTTGTCTGATATTACAAAAGACCTAAGAAACCATTACTTGGAAAGCAAGTAGCAATATCTAACTAGTTAGTTGTCGCACTCATGAATTTATCTTCACGTTTAATTTGTTAAGAGGGACGAAGGTGCATGCGTAGAGCTTTCTTTCTTTCTTCTTCTTCTTCTTCCCTTAGTGCTGCTCTCGTGAGTTCTCTCACTCCTGAAAGTCCCTTTGCGCCTGCATGTCTTGCCCTTTTCACCTCCTACGTAATAAAGCATCCAAAAGTGCCAAGGGCCTCTCCTTGAGCCCTCCATTTTTTTTGGTTTGCTTTTGGTTTTTGTTTGGGGAATAATTCTGGACCACCAAATCGACCCAAGTGTGCAGCATCCATAAAGCCCACGGAAGCAAGGTTCATCAGGCCCACCAAGATGTCATCTCGAGTTGATATAGGTTGTTAGTAACTAGGTTCTGATGTTATCGCCTTGAATGTGAAAGAGATTTGATCTCGTTTATTTTTCGTTGGACTTAATCGTGACAACGAGAATTCAGACACCACGCCCGAAAATTGCTCTGCGCAGGTGCATGTGACCACCTTTACTCTTCCAAGCTCACTCTGTATACTAAGTAGTAAGTACGCATTGCTCCAATCTGACCCAACGGACAACCTTGACGTGTTCAGCGTCTAGGTGCATCATCTTAGAACATAAACATGATCGGTTGGATAGCATGTATTGTTCCCTAGTTTCATAAATGCATAATACCTCATTGGTCTTGATAAAATTATGTACCAAAATCACCTATTTTAGAGTTCACGCAAACCATAAATTACCCTCAACAAAACTCCCAAAATTAAGTACGATTTTCATTACACTCGAACAATTTGCACCACTATGTACATGAAAATATGCATATAAATACAAGTACATACACATATATGATATCTACAAAAGAATAGGTTCATTCTTAGTCCTTATCATGACTTGTACAAGTGAACAAAAGGCTACACCGACTACTTGTGGTAATGGCACGTTAATTTTAAGTGCTAGTAATGGAAAATGGTCCATCGGGGCATGGAGATGAACATTTGAGGGTGAAGGAGGGGGGTTGGGGTGTGGGTTGTTAACTATTTTGACAATGCCATAAATCTATGAGCTAATTAATAGGACCACTTGACAATCAATTAGAAAGCTACATAGGGCATCAAAGCAAAGTGAAAATGGGCCAAGTCTCTATCCATTCTTGCCACCAATGTACAAGAGATCATGTATGGAAAGGAATGGAAGCATGAATGTGGTTTGGGGATTTAATAATATTTGAATAGTCCAAAGAATAAGAGAGTTAGGGTAGGGAAGAATGATAATATTTCGAATGTGGATAATCCATAATAACTCAAGTTAATGGTTTGTTCATTAACATGATATCTGTGTCTTTCATTGATTGCCTTATTTTCGAATCTCAATGACGATACCCAATATAAAACAAAAGGTTTAGTACGAAGGTTAATATTTTCAACCGGTACAAAATGAAATCCCATAAGTAGGTTTTCGTTTAAGGAGACATGTAAAATAAAATAGACTGACACATATATGACTCATACAAAATCTTTTCTAATAAATCAAGTTATTGGGACTAAATAGTTTGTTCTTTAACAAGAGTTTAACATCATCCAAGTTAGCGATGGCAATTCCTAACCTGACCCGCACGCCCCAACCTGTTCCAACTTGTTTGGAGCGAGTATTATCTGCCAGCAGTAGCGTCGGGCGGGGCATGTTTATTGCTTCCGACACACCTCCCCCCATTCTCTCATGATTTGCATCTATATCTACATGTATGTCTCCATTTTGACCTTTCTAAAATCATATTTTCATGCCAAATAAATTTTAAAATTGAGTAATGTCCATTTTTTATCCAAATCTTTTTCAAATTCTTTTATATCATCCAAACTTATTAAAATGCTTTTAATTAGCCAAATCTATCGTGATGGACCAAAATATTAGCCATTTTTACGTTATCGTTAATAATTTTGTAACTTTTTTCTTAGTTAAAATATTAAAGTTTTAGAATGTTGACCTACATGTGTCGCTCCCACGTCAGTATCATGTTTCCAAGTCAATATTACTAATAAAATTTCTAAATGAAAGTTAACATTTGGATAATTCTTAGTATTTCGATAAGTTTAAAAGGTTTGGATAAAAAATAGGCATTACCCTTTAAATTCTATCTTTCAACTATTTGAATTCAGTTATTCCTTCTACGTCCTATATTTCTCATTTATTTATGATAGACCCACCCCACTATGTACCCGCACGGGTATTACCCGACCTGACCAGCGCTTAGTGCTGAACATGTATGAGTAACGAGGTACCCGCCTCGTCCTTTCCCATTGCCATCAGCCCATCACTAATCCAAGTTGTTTATAGAAAGAAATCACAAACAAAACGAA